TGTTTTTTTGTTTGTTTGTTTGTTCTCGAGATAAGGTGTGTGTGTGTGTGTGTGTGTGTGTGTGTGTGTGTGTGTGTGTAGCCCTGGCCATTCTGCAACTCGCTGTCTAGACCAGGTTGGTCTTGAACTCAGAGATTTGCCTGCCTCTACCTCCCAGGTGCTAGGATTAAAGGTGTGCATCACACTGCCTGGCCTAGTCCTACCTAATCGTAAATTTTGTTTCTTTTGACAATGGCTGGCCCCATCCCACCCAAGGTCTCCATCTCTACCCAGGGAGTATGGGCATGGGGTCTCATGGGTTAGAACACAGCTGACTTAGTAGCATCGATCACTCAGACTGAACTACACTTTCAGCAAAGGGCTGCATACCCATTGGCTCGACTCAGGCTTGACTCCCTGGATCCACTGCCATACCCAGCAAAACATCTGTCAGCTGGCTACAGCGGTGATTCCCTCACCACATTCCAAGAAAGAAGCCCCCATACTTGCAGGCTGCTGACCTTGTACAACACGCAGAGAGGTCACAAGGAAAGGTTGCAGCTGACCCCTACAGGAATTGTTTGCATCACAGACTGTGTCGCAGGTCTACAGGCAGCAGGGAAGCAAACAGCCTCTTTATAAAAACATTCATCATATGTTTTTATATGAGGATGGAAAGTCACTCCTTTCTGTGTCTTTGTTGACACCAAACCTTGGAGGTGTTGGCTGAGCAGGGCTTGGTAAAGTTGAATTAGGCTCAGGGATCCCCACCTTACTCTACAGTGGCCTTACTGGGTCTCCCATTGAGGTTCCTCAGCAGTCACACCCTTTCCCACACTATGTTCAAGGGGAATCACTGAGATCAACAAAAGGGTGAGGGAAGGGATAAGAGCTGCCTGAGGTTTGCCTGGGGCAAGTAAGACCTAGTATATTGTCAGGGTCACTAAGGGCCTTCAGCACTTCAGTTACCTGCCAGTGACTCTGAGGCCCCGAGTGTTATTCCTTGGAAACTACAGCTCCCAGACTTCCCCTGGATTACCGTCACCTGTGCGCGCTGGCGCGCCCAGGTGAAGACCATTACTCCCAGATAACCTTGCGCCCGCAGTTAAAAGCGAGCGCTCCACGAGGTTTCGCTCTTTTGCTCCCTTGGTCCCCTTTCCTTTATCCTTGTGTGTCTGCACGTCCGCCCTTATCGTGTTCCCCTCTCCCCATTAAAGCGCACCCACGTGGGAGCCGCGTGTCCGTCTCTTCCTTTGCGTCCGTCTATCCTGTGTTTGTCCACACACCCACGCCGCCCCGCCGCCGTTTTTAAAGGAATAATACCGAGTCCTTCAGCAAGAAGAGTGGGGCTCTTGTTCTGGGCAAAATCCACATAGCATCAACTCCACTAGGACCACTGGGGCTCGGCGCCCTGCTAGGTGGCAGGGGAGCTCTTCCCGCTGCTGTGTACGCATTGCCACCACCCGACTCCAGCCGGTATGATTGGAGTGTAGAATGCCCCCCCATAGGGTCGTGGGTTTTCACATTCGGTCTCCAGCTGGTGGCACTGTTTTGGGGGAGATTTAGAACCTTGGGAGCATATTGCCCAGCTCTCAGATATAGGTGTCCAGAGTAGGGCTTCCAGCTTCCTCCTCCATCAGCCGATATCGTGTAAAAAGCTGTGACAGTCTGGCCACTGTGATGGACCACTGTGATGGACCACAGCCTGAAACCTTGACACAGCTGTGAGAAGTGACTAACACATCAAAGGGAACTCAGTGGGGGTTATTATTTATTTGACAGAGGTGGGGCTAGAACTCAGAGCCTCACACATGACAGGCAAGTGCTCTGTCATTAGCTACACCCTCAGCCATGAAGCTGCATTTGAAAAACTGTCTTGTCCCACAGGCTTTGGTTGAAAATCCTGCTGAGGCTTCTAGAGGGAATCAAGGACACTCAGGGCCTTGCTCTGCTCGAAAGGCTGTCCAACCAAGATGTGGCCAAGTAGGGCATAGCTGGAGATGGGGCAGAGGGAGGCCAGAGAAGGGGCGGGGGGGGGGGGGGGGGGGGGGGGGGGGGGGGGGGGGGGGGGGGGGGGGGGGGGGGGGGGGGNGCTGGAGATGGGGCAGAGGGAGGCCAGAGAAGGGGGGGGGGGGGGGGGGGGGGGGGGGGGGGGGGGGGGGGGGGGGGGGGGGGGGGGGGGGGGGGGGGGGGGGGACAGGGACTATAACATAGTCCTGGTATGGGCTGAGGAGCAGAGCGAGGCATACCACCGAGATGGCTAGACATCACTGTGGGCTTCAAAGGAAAGGATTTCCCTGGGCTCTGACTCGGGCTGGATAAACAACGCCTGCAGATTTCTGATCAGCAAGGGGTCTGCGGGATGGTGAAGAAGACCGAGGACACAAGGAGGTGGCTCTAAAAGGCCCCAGTTTTCCAAACCACAAGAGTGGAGACAGAAATCTGAGAAGCAGGAGCGGCAGCAAGGGCTCTCATCCTCAGACCATCGACCCCCTGGATGGACTTCAGATACATTTCACAGCTGCCCACAGGCTCTGTAGTGGGAAGCTTGTTTTTCTTCTTTCTGACCAAAAGTAGATTTGCTGACAGATTAGCGAGCAGGGGGCTGGGGTGACAGGGAGGTCACCCAGGAGTGCAAAGCTGTGTGGAGCCCTGAATCACCCTAATGAGGTGCCTCCGTTCCTGAGAGCTGGGAGGGACCCCTGTGGCTGACTGGCTTAGGCTGGCAGGGCTGCAGCTTCCATCTGGCTCCCAGGAGAAAGCCCTTCCCCCACAGGGGTGGGCTATTATCCCACTGGGTGCCTGTGGATACTGAGGCACGGAGCATTTGTGAATGAGAGTTCGGACTCCTCCAGGGACCCAGCACTTCTCAATACGTCTCTCAAGTACGCAGTCAGTCACTAACCACACATCATAAAATGCACCATTTCACCTGGGCTGGGCACACAGCTCCATGGAGCAGGCACACGCATTCTGCCACATGACCTTGTCCTCATAGGCTGTTTGGTTTATCTGGCTGTGAGTAGCTTTTTTTTTTTTTTTTTTTTTAAGGCAGGGCCTCTCTCCTGGCTGGCCTCAAACTTGCTAAGTAGATCAAGTTGGCCTTGAACTTGCAGTGCTCCCCCCCCCCCCCCCCCCCGTTTAGGATTATGGGTCTGCAACAGCACACTTGTTTATTGCATTTATGTATATCCAGTGTATAGAACAGATAAGACTGCACTCATTTCACAGGAAGAAGAGCCCCGCAGAGGCTTTTGGTTTTCTCCCAGTTTTTGTCAAATGTGTCAGTAGATGCAAATGTATGTATGGTTCAGAGTAGGGCAAGGGGTCTGAATCTTGCCTGCCGTGTAACCTGAATCTAACCACTCCATTTATTCCGTGGTGATAACAAGCACTGGTTTTACTGTATATATTAAATAAAGCTGCATGAATCAGATCTACCTCCGAGCCTGGTATGAAATCACTGCTCAATAAATGCCCATAGCAGTGTTATCCACAGTGAACAAAGGACTGTGAGGCCCTTAGCCAGGGCCAGTTGGCTCTGCGCTCCTCCAGAGGTGTTGATGCGGGTGGACAGTTGTGGCAGGCCAAGCTGGCTTGCAAGGACTGAACCCTGGCCTCCTCCAGGAAGGCCTTCCTGGCAGATGTGCTTGCCCATGGAGACAAGCTGGCTGGAACTCTCTCCTACAGAGAGACCCACTGCTATGACAGAGAAACACTCAGGCTGGACTCTAAAACACCCCCCTTCCCAAGGGGAAGCAGTGACACCAGAGAAGGTATCTGGCCTGTTGCTTGTTTGCTGGTAGTTTCTTCAGGTCATTGGCCTGAGTCTCATGGGGATGGAGGGTGTGCCTGGGGCTCTCAGTTCACTCAGCTCTAGTGGCTTCTCAGTGGTATGAAGCGGGAGCCGGCATGACCTAGAGACGCACACTCCTTCTGAGGACTCATGTGGCAGAAGATGACCCTGTGTTTCTCTTCCAGGCCCAGAGAGAGATTAACAACCATCCTTTATTGTCCTGTGGTGACTCAGCCCCCACCCCCACCCCCAAACATTTCTGGAGGTCACTCATCTTTGCCCCCTGCCCAGCTCCTGGTGACAGCCTCATCCTGGGTGAACTGAGTAATCTTTACTGGCATCCCTTTTCCATTTCTTTCAGTGTAGGGAGGTAGAGGTGGAGGTGGGGCGGGAGAGGTGGGGATCACTGGGATGGGTGGGCCTGGGTCTGCTTTCAGGGGCAGGGAAATATCACCATCATGTCTGGAAAATTCCCCTCCAGGAGCCTTTCCGTTTTCACTGGGGAGCTAGGTTGAACGACGCTGGACTTTCTTACCAGAAACCCCACTGCCTAGAAACGTGCTCTCCAGATTGCCGACCAGCCCCAAAGGAGGAACTAATGTCTTGGAGCGGCCCTTTCTACAGGGAAGCTCGATACACTGGCACGTGGAGCCGCGCGAAGGAGAAGGCGGAGAGATAGATACCTTGCAGAGAGAGACGTCTAGTGCCTCTGGACCCTAATAACTTCTTTCTGGTACCGGTTCCCTGCATTCCTGGGGCTTGATTTCGCCCCACCTTTCACCTGGCCCCGCCCCTCTGTCACTTGACCCCCTCCCCTTCCTACGTCAGCCCGGTAGCTTTTTCCCCCTTAGCCACGCCCCGCTCTTTCCCTGGCTCTCCTCTTTACCCAGCCCCTTCTCTTCTCCCCTTACCCACCTTCTTCTACCTATTTTTCCCCCGCCGCTGCCAGGCCCCGCCCCTCCCTTCCTCGCAATCTCCCCCCCCCCTTTTCCCAGCCCCCCCAACTGTCCGCCCCTCCTCTCGGGTGGGGTCCCAAGGCTGGAAAAAACCACCCTGGCTGCGTACTGCTCTCCGGCGCCCTCTTGTGGCCCCGGACCCTGAGGCCCTCTGGCTAGGTTTTGGGAGCCGAATGGTTTGGCCTCCTTGCTCCACCAGGCTTCCACCTGCCGAATTGGGGTCCCCAGCCGGTGAGTGACCCAGAAAGCACTCCGAGGCCGGCCAGCACTCCACTTTCAGGATCTTTATTGCCTCCGTAGGCCGCATGTCCCCAGCTGGGACTAGAAGAAGTTGAGCACCCTGCGGAGCGACTGCACACGCGCGCTCTGGGCCTCCCAGTCGGAGAAACTGCGGAAGTCGCCCCTCTCCACCACGTACATGCGGCCGCGGTAGTTGGGCTCCTCGTAGAGGACCCACCTGAAGGACAGCAGGGAAAGGCGGGTCAGCGGGCGGGAGCCACTCGGGCAAGTCTCCCCGGTCCCGCCCCTCTGTCCTAGCTCCTCGCTGCGGTTAGCATCAGTGGCTGATTCGGGCTTGATGCTGGAGTGGGACAAGAAGGAGCCTTGCCCAGTAACTGACAAGGGTGGGTGTGACTCGGGGATGCCCTCTGCCCAGTCACCCTCCAAAGGGCCTTTTGAACACAGTACCCAGCCCGACAGGACTACTGACATAAACTGGGGACCATTCCCACTGTGTATCCACTCAGACAACAGCCCTGGTGGGATCAGCCCTGGTGGGGTCCATGTTCCAGTGCAAGGAGCTGTGCTGCCTGCATTGTACAGAGGAGCTGTAACCTCCAGGACGTGAGGTCTGGCAAGGGCACCTCTCCGTTGACGGTGTGTGCAGCAGACCCTGGTCGTTTACAGCCCCCTGGGCTGTAGTGAGAAAGCGAAGGTGCACCATGGGTCAGGGAATCGGGAAGATTGGTGGAGAAGATCAGGAGGGTGGTCCCTACCTGAGAACATGTGTAAGGAGAAGCTTCTCATCAGAGCTTGGACCAGCCCTGCCCATCCTGTCACCCACCGTCCCTGGGATAAGTGTAGGGCTGTGCGTGTGGGACCCAGGACAAGACGCCGTGCGTACCCTCCCACTCGGGGGGCCAGGTTGAAAGGCGGGGCTAGGGGAGCTTTAGAAAGTCGGGGAGGGGCCTCCAGGCCTGACTGCACCGAGAACTGGGAGAACTGGAATCACCGCGTCAAAGGCTGGCTCGGCATTTCACTTCAGTCTTAGCTCCGGCTCTCCCGCCCCCTCTTCCACCGCTGTAGAAAACAGCTTTTCTCTGGGCCACGGTGGTTTTCTGAAGCAGGGCTCCCCCGGGGCTGCTCAGTCTCTGAGATTCATGAGACTCAGAGCACAGGACTACTCTTGACCTCTCTTTGCAGGAACCTCCCCCAGTTTGTCTTGGCAGTTCTTGCTCCCTGCTCCCAAAGCACTCCGCCATTCATGGAGTTTGCTTGCCAGGGAACAGACTGGGAATCTGTGAGCCCTTTAGCCCAAGGTTCTGCTCGCAGATGAACTCAGAGGAGAGAGATCACTAGCGGTCACACAGCCTGCTTCCCCAGCTCGCTGCTCCCAAGTCACCCTAGCCTCTTCCCTTCCTTATCCTGACCCCTCAGCTGATAAGGGATGCAGTCTGATAGTAGGGGCAGAGGGAGGGAGGGAGGGAGGGAGGGAGGGAGAGAGAGAGAGAGAGAGAGAGAGAGAGAGAGAGAGAGAGAGAAGCAGCTAGTCCTGCCCTGTAGTATCACGAACCACCTTGGAGTTCTTGTGGACACTCCAAAAAGAAGAGGGACCTGGCTGGACATGACAGCTTATCCTCTGGTTCTTCACCTGCAACTCCTGGGGAAAAGCCCCCAGTGAAAGGGTTCTCTGGAGAGGAGGCTCAGTGGTTAAGAGCAGTGGCTTTTCTTCCAGAGGATCCAGGTCCAAGTGTCAGCTCCCATAGTTCACAACTATAACTCCAGGTCCAGGGAGTTCAATGTCTCCTTCAGAGCTCAGTGGTCACCGGGTGTGCATGTGGTTAAAAATACTCTTTAAAATTTAAAAAGGGGGGAGCTCATGCCTACTCAGTCTGTTAGAATGTTGGGGGAATGCCCTCACTCTCCCCTCACACGCCTTCTAAGACACAGACATGAGGGATGGGTCACTCCTAAACTGGCATGTAACCCAGAAGGAGTGCTCTTGGCACACGGGAAGTTGTAAAGGGGCCCTGCCTCATTGCCTGCCAGATCCCAGAGAGGGCTCCAGGGATCCAAGGTTTGTCATAGAAGAGTTAAGGTCAATGAAGACAAAATACAGGCACACCTTGGATCCCAACACAGAGGCCCACTGTCTTGGCCTCCATCTCCTGACCATTGAGCCCAGTTCCTTCCAGGAAGCTGAAGATTAAAGATTATATTCCCCAGACCTGGCTGTGGTGGCACTCGCCTTTAATCCCAGGACTTGGGAGGCAAAGGCAGGAAGACCTCTTGAGTTTGAGGCCAAAAGAGCGAGTTCCAGGACAGCCAGGGCTACACAGAGAAACCCTGTCTTGGAAAAAAAATTCCACTTCAATCACAACCAGAGTTCATGCCTGCCTCCCCTCTCCCAGGATCCCCAGGGTTGGTAGGCAGATAATGTCTTGGGTCCTAGGACATTCTGCACATAGAAGTATGCCTCTGGCTGCACGAGTCACAATTTAGCCTGCAAATTTCCCAAGGCAAGTTGTTTTGGACTGCTAGCCCTGGACTCCCAAGGTCAGGCATGTGGAAGAAATGTCAGCTCTTTGTCTCCCTCGCTAACTCTCTTGATCCCTCGGCCCTGATCCTGAGCCTTCCACAGGGATCAAGCTCCTCTACCATCAACCCTGCACAGGGACACTCTCAGGTGGGGCTCCTCTGCTGGGGGAGAGGCTGGGGGAACTAGCTCTGGAGTGGAAGGGGCTCCACCAGGCTGCAGTCCCAGCAGGACCTCTGCTGTGGGAAGGATCTAGGGTTAACCGCAATCTCAGTTTGTACTTCTAAAACACGGCACTGTCCTCTCCAGAATGGGTGGGGACAACGGAGAGGGTGTTCAGTGTTCGTCCCCATCTGTGTGTGATACAGGCAGATTGCTCAGGTGAGGGCAGAAGGAAAACCAGTGCGGTGTGCCTGCACGTGTCCAGTGAGCAGGTGCACAGCGAGCTGCCCCGCATGGCAAACCCTACACTCTGACAGCTGGTTTGGACTGGAGAAGACAGGCAGAATTCCCAGCTGTTCTTAGCCATCCTATGGATTTCCTGAAGCCCACGTCTCCAGCCAGTTGGTGTGGGTTGGTTGCCACCAGGCAGAGATGCCTAGGTCTGGGGTCATCTGAGCTGGGCAGATGTACCCTCTCAGAAGGTGAGGCTGCTGCGTGGCTTTGTATCCCCTAAGTGGGGTTCTCTTGAGTCTAGGGACTCAAGGAAGTCAGGCAGTCAAGATGTTCAGTCTTGTAGCAGCGATGGTCATAGTTTCCTATGTACTCTTTTCCCCTGCTCAGGTCTGGCACACCAGAAGGACGGTCTCAGGGAGCCTCTAAGGCTCTGTGACTGTCCTGAAAGCCAGAGATGACAGCAGCTATTCATTGCTTGCCTGGAGCAGGTGAGGCAGATGAAGGCCTGTGGATCAGGGGCACCATGCCCACCCACGAAGTCTGATGCCTACCCACCCTACCACACCTGTCTGGCAGCCCCGGCTGTACTCACGCTCCATCCCCATACACCTTGATGGCGTTGACACAGCTCTTGGCCCAGCCCCGGCTCTGCAGGAAGGGGCAGTCTTCCACGAACTCCAGGCACTGGCCTGTGAAGTTGCAGCCCTCGAAGATGTCTATGCGGAAATGTTCTCCGTGCTCCAAGACCCAGGCAGGTGGGGAAGGAAAAAGGAATACTCCAAGTCTCTCCTCCCCGTGTACGGGTGGGAAGAAATATGGAATGGCTCCCAGCCCTGGCTGGACTGGGGATCCAGTGAGTACTCCCCATCACACACACACACACACACACACACACACACACACACACACACACACACTGGTGTTCTTCCATGAGATGGGAGGAAGGGTTCTTTTACTCTGAAAACCTAAGCCCTGAACTGGTCCAATCCCCACCTTTTACAACTGAGGACCCAAGGTCTAGTGAGGGAAAGGCTGTCTAGATGCCAGCACATCGAGAGCAGGGCTGTGGGTCACTGGCTCCCTGTGGGCATTCCACTTGGGGGATTCATGTCCCAGCTTTGGCTTAGCCACCCTCGGTTTCAGGCCACAGGCAGACCTCCAAACAATAATATTTTAGAAGTGTAATAGAACCCTTTGTGAAAACACTTAGGCAAGACATCTAAAACAATGACTCCCATTCGCGGAGGTCCCTGCTGGCTTCATAATTCACTAGCGCCAGTACATACATCTCCCTGTGTGATCCCCCACCCCACTGGGACGGCTCTAACAAGAACAGCCTTCGGACGACGTCTTGTGTATTTTTCATATAAACAGCATTATGCAGGATCCAGAGCCAGCCATTCTAATGCTTCTTTCCTAATGCCCACATCCTGGCAGAGACACTAGGAAAGCATTCTTTCAATGGAACGTGCCAGAGCCCAGCTGATTCTGGAACTGATGTAGAAAAGAAAAGGGGCCCCATGCTGAGTGGCACCTATCCAGATTCCTCAGATGTTGGCTAGAGCACTGGTGAGGCATCCAGGATGCCCTGGCAGACAGACACTTTGGTGAGCGCTGCCCACACTAGTCCCCAGAATCACCCGTTTCCCAGCCAAAGGACAACAGTGGGAGCAGATCTCATACCTGTGACCCGAGGGCCCTCCCTCCTCAAATCCCTCTCTGAAGGAAACTTCAGAGAAACTAGACAGAAAGGGTTTTTCTCCTCTAGGGGGAGCAATGCCCCTCATTTGCTCTGCCTACACACTTCAGGCCACAACTGCAAAGCAGGTATCGGTGCGGCTCAAGAGCTCTGTCCTCTCAGATTTCTTACTGCTCCCTCTGGCACTTTGGCCGCCGTTATTCATTCCAAGTTTCCAAGTTCTTTTTTTTTTTTTTATTTTTATTTTTTGTTTTTTTCGAGACAGGGTTTCTCTGTGGCTTTGGAGCCTGTCCTGGAACTAGCTCTGTAGACCAGGCTGGTCTCGAACTCACAGAGATCCGCCTGCCTCTTTCATTCCAAGTTCGAAGCATTGAAGGCTAACATAATGCTACAAGGAAACCAGAGTGGGGAGGTGATCACGCTCAGAGCAGCCTTGTGTATGTGTTCATGCACACCGGAGTACACGCAGGCACATGTGCGAGCATGTGTGTATGGAAGTCAGAGGGCAATATCGGGTATCTTCCCCAATCAGTCACCACCTCACTAAGAGCTTTTGCTACTGTGTTGTCTGTGTATGTACAAGCGTGTGTGGATGTCAGGCGATATTGTAGAGTTTGTGCTCTCCTCTACCCTTACATGGGTTTTGGGGACCATGGTAAGTCTTGTACACCTTATCCATTATGTCCTCCAATCGATTAATTAATTAATTTAGAAAGAGTCTTCACTGAGCCGAAAGCTTCTAAATTTGGCTAGATTAATCGATCAGCAAACCTCAGCGATTCGGCTGGTTCCACCTCCCCAGTGCTGGGGTTACAAGAGAACCATCATATCTGTTTTTTTATGGGTTCTGTGCAGCAGACACTTTACAAGCTGAGCCATCTCCCCAATCTTTCATTTCACTTTTGATGAGTGCAGCCCTGTTCAGTGACAATCCAAACATATTCCCAGCCTTTGAATTTTAGCTGCATGCTTGACTCAAAAATTTAAAATGATTCCTTGACAGCTCCAAGGGGCTCCTACCCTCTTGGTCCTCACAGCATCTCATGCGCACATCAGTTTGGACAGGGTTCTCTCAATTTTTAAGGTTTTCTTGTCGGGAGGTGCCCATGCTTTTGATTAAATGCCAGGCTGACCTTCCAGTGCTTGAGCTGGAAGTTGCCAGCCCCTAGGTGGAGGAGCTCACTCACCATGCCCACAGGCCGACAGGAGCCCATGTGGTCATTGTGCCCATTCCAGCGGAAGAACTCGGGGTAGTCACCGTGCTCTAAGATGAACTGTTGGCCTCGGAAGTCAGGATGATCGAAGCAGACCCAGGCTCCACTATCCACACGGATGGAGTTCACTCGGTTCATAAAGCCTCGGTCCTGGAAGTTGTCACAGTCCCCAAAGACCTCCAGCTTCCGCCCTGTGAAGTGCTTGCCCTCATAGAAAGTGATCTGGAACAGCCAGTTGAGACCTAGGGGTCAGGGTCCCATCTGGCTGCTGGGGAATGTTATTTTCAGCTGTGTGACTTGGTTTATGCTGCATTTCTTTAACGCTGTGAAGCTGTGTTACTGTGCCTGTCTAAAACACCTGATGCGCTTAAGAAGCGATGAACAACCAATAGCGAGGCAGGAGCAGGGATAGGCGGAGTGGGGGGTGGGGTGGGTGGCTAGCAGGCAGAGAGTATAAATAGAAGCGGTGGGGGGGGCTAGGGGACATGACATGGGACATCAGGGGTCAGCCATCCAGCCAGTCACGGAGTAAAAGTAAAAAAAGGTATACAGAAATAGAGAAAGACAAAGCCCAGAGGCAAAGGGTAGACAAAATAATTTAAGATAAGACAAGCTGGACAGAAACAAGCCAAGCTAAGGCTGGTCATTCATAACTAAGAATAAACCTCTGTGTGTGTGATTTATTTTGGAGCTGGGTGGCTGCCCCCCTAAAAAGCCAAAAATGAGTAAAACATCACACAACATCTGACCTACACACACACACTCACACATGGGCATGTGTACTCAGCATGTTTGTTGTTATACGTAACACTCACAAAGAGCATTAAAGGACATGTTTTTAAGGCATAAATGTCATGTAGAAGCAGTCATTATAACTCATCACTGATTTTTTTTTTAAAGTGCAGTTCCTAATACTGAAATTCCAGCCATTCACTCTTTGGGTCTGAAGAACTGTGGTCTCAGAAAGTCTCTGGGTCAGGGGCTTCTCTGAATCTGGGCCTCACATCCTCAGTGGAAGCCAGGCGTGCAGCCCTGCTCATAGCAGTAGATGCCTGGCACTATCTGCTAATGGGGCACAGAGAGAGAGTGATCAGTCACCAGCGGCTGATGCCAGACACATGGTCCGGCTGTCTGGGGACAGGGGTTTCCCGTTTGTCTAGGAGCCCTCTTGAAATCAGGCTGTGGCTGTATTGCGACGCTCAGCAGCTCAGCACTTGCTTGCAGAACACCCACGACAGCATTAAAGGAAGTGCTTTCTTAAAGCCTACATGGCATGCACAACAAGTCGCCATAACTCACCATTTCTTCTTAGAGTAAAGTTTCTAATACTGGAACCTTCTTAACTGGAGAGGGGGATTTGTGGAGGCCAGAGCGGGTTTTCAAGAGAGGGCTAAATATCACATATCTCCCTGCCTTTTCTCCCCCACCCCACCGTCTTTGTTTTTGTTTGGTTTTGATTTTGAGACAGGGTCTTAATTATCGCAGACTAGCCTTGAACTTATTATGTAGCTAGGGACAACCCACACCTTCGGATCTTCTGCCTCCACTTCCTGAGTGCTGAGAGTACAGCCAAATCACCCACGCCTGGTTTGTGCAGGGTTGGGGATGGAACCCAGGGCTTTGCATGCGTTAGACAACTCAGCTGGAGCCTCAGAGCTTTCTCTTTCTCGGGGACCCTCCTCTGAGTAATAGGCAGGTGTCAGACTTGGAATTTTATGAACCTCTTGGCAATTCAGACATAGTGTCTCATAATAACAGACAACAGTTAATAATGCTGCCAGGATGTCATTGTTCCAAACTAAACAGGTGAAGCAACCACAGCCTGCAAATTCACTTCCCACCATAGGAAATTCAATCACTCAATAGCTCTTTGGAACTCAAGAACTATGGTCTCAGAGGGACTCTATAGGAATATAGTCACATTACCCAGAAACTGGGGGCACTCCAGTTCCACTGTTTCCACCTTCTCCAAAGGATTACAGTGGCAAGTCCCTGGCCGCTGGAGTTAAGGTGTTTGTGGGATGTTGGTGAGCCAGAGGCAACACTGTTTTGGGGGTTCTTCCTTTCCTGCTCTGCCAAGCTGGTGCTGTTTGTTACTGAAGCACACCCCAGGCTATATGGACAGATCAATGGCGTCCACCACTGACATGCGTGCTGGGCACCTCTGGAGGTCAAAGGGTTCTTGGGTCAACCAGGACCTGGACATTAGAGGGCAAGGGATAACCACAGTGGTGGGTAGGTCTGGTTAGGGTAGGTCACGTGGGGGAGAGAAAATCCCGAGGGGCGAAGGTCACATTTTGGCCCCCCTGTGGTGAGGAAAACACTCCAGGAGGTCTCGAACACAAGGGCCGCTGGCGACTTTGGGGCGTGCCATAAAAGAGGGATGGGGAGAGGGCTCGGGACACGCCCTCAGTCAACAGGGGAGGTCACTCCATCTCATTAAGAAATAAAGCCAGCTTTGCTTGACTTTGTCAGACCCAAAGAGATCTGGGATCAGTCTGCACCCTCCCCCACACTCGGGGGCTCCCCCACACTCGGGGGCTCCCCGAGGCCGCTGGCCGCACTCACCTTCCCGGAGCGCTGCGCCATGGTGTGTGACTGGCCGCAGCGGGACCCGGTATATACTCTGTGGCGCCTGCTGGCTCAGCGCCGCCCGGGACAAAAGATTTGCTTGGCCCGGCACGCGCGCGTTAGTGCTGTCGGGCGTGCTAAGCCGGCGCCAGGACCTACCCGAGAGCCAGTGTCACACACGAGTGACCTAGTCCTCAATGCCTCTGGATCCGACTCCTCCTGCCCAGCCCACCACGCCCTGCTGAGTCAGGGTCTCAGCACCCGGGCTTGGGAGGCTCCTCTCAACCCCTTGTTCTGCCTCCCAGAGCTGCGTCTCAGTGCCCCTGACCTGCAGCGCTTTCTTTTCTCACCTGGTTGCAGGCTAACACGATATCGCCGTTTTATTTCTATCTATCTATCTATCTATCTATCTATCTATCTATCTATCTATCTATCTATGTATCTATCATCTATCTATCTATCTATCTATCTATCTATCTATCTATCTATCTATCTATCTATCTATTTTTCTGGGTAATGGATGGAGTCCTAGCTTCCCAAGCTCAGCTGGGGGAGTGGGGGCGGGAAACAACAGTCACCTCTTTGCCTGGTGCAGGTCTGCGGGCTTCCAGACTGCTCCCACCTGCACCTACTCCTTTTGTTTTCTCCCCCTGAAGATCCCAGGTGACACCTGCCTCCAATAGGGAACCTACAGTACTTTGAGTACTCTGAGCCCTAGTATACACCACCCTGGATGCCGAGGATCTATTTACAGAGCGATACACACACCTGCTGAAGGCCCACAAGTATTTGGAGTATATTGAAGCCTCAAGAATAAACACACAAACTGGCCGGGGAACTGAACTGGTGGCCCTGGGGACAGGCTGAGATCAAAGGAGAGAGAAGCTCCAGGGGTCTGAAGAGGTCCTAATGAGCCCAAGGGGACTCTGGGAACATTTGTGGGCCCGCTCTGCTCCCAGGAGGGTAATGGGCACTTTCTCTAATACTGTAAAGACAGGGGACAGGGGCGGGCCCAGGGAATCCTAGGGCAGAAAAGGTCTCTTGCTTTGCTCTGGGAAGTTACTCAAGACAGACAGGGAGCCACATATCACCCCTGACACCAGCTCACACTTCCCCAGGAACCCCATCAGGAACAGCCTATTTCCTTCACCAGCACCCACACTCCGAAGCACACCTCACTGTGTTTGTTTCTCACTTCTGGTCTTGAAGGCATAAAATTAGAACAGTATTCTTCCAATCTAGAAAAAGTAGTGTGCGAGTTTCTGTATGGCAGTGGGGGGAGGGAGGGCGGGGAGTAAGTGTTTGGGAGTGTATGCTTGTGTGTGTGTGTGTGTGTTTGTGTGTGTGTGAGGGGTAGTCTCTTGCCTTCCACCTTGTTTGGTTAAATAGAGTCCCTTGCTGCTGGCTCTTGGGAACTTTCCTGACTCTGCCTCCTCTCTGCCTGTGGTGGTGCTGGGGTTACAGATTCTCCACTGGCTCAGTGTGGATTTGAACATTGAGGAAGATATCACCCCACTTCCTGGAGGAACAGGAAAGAGGTCTAACCTGTCAGGTCCTCGTGTCTTCACAGTATATTAGTCAGGGTTCTCTAAAAGACAGTGTGTGTGTGTATGATAGATAGATAGATAGATAGATAGATAGATAGATAGATAGATAGATAGACAGACAGAGAGAGAAGTTCTCAGACTGTTTGGGTAGTTCAACAATGGCTGTCTTCCCAACGGAGAGTCACAAGGCTAATGACTCAGAAGTTCCAACCTAGGACTGAAGGCCCGGAGGATTCCCAGGAAGACACCAATCTTCAGTACACACTGGAAAGCCAAGGAAGCCCAGTTCCGATGTTGGCAGCCATGGTGGCAACAGGGTAGATGAATCCCAAAACAGGAAAGATGAACTCGTTTTAGAGTCCCAGCCAAGGGGCTGGAGAGATGGCTCAGAGGGTAAGAGCAAAGACAGGCAAGCAAAGCCTGTCCCTTGGGCTTCCTTACAGCCAAGCTACCTCTGAAAGATGCCACCCACAACCGCTGGAGGGTAGGTGGGTCTTCCCATTTCACTTAATAAATCAAGAAACTCCCTCACAGGTCTTGTCCAGGCGGCTCCAGATCCTATCAAATGGACAGTCAATATCAACCACTAAGTACCACACACAGAAAGAGCTTTGTCCTGAACTGTCTCCCTAGCCCAGAAGTTTTATACTAAGCACTAACCCAGATGGTAAAATTATTATGTTTCTTCTCCTATACATGAATCTGGCATTTACAGTTGGGAGTCAGGTGACAGCAAAGGTTAGACCATTTTCCTGTGACACCAGAGAGTGGGTTGGTACCTTCCTCAAGGTTTAAAGATAGGCCTACTCAGCGAGAGAAGGATCCTGGTTGGGGTAGACTAGCAAGAGGCTTATTTAACCCATTAAAAACATTTGCAGCCGAGGCTATAGCTCGCTCAGTGGCGGAAAACTAGCTTCCCATGTACAAGGCCCTGGGTTCAGTCTCTCTCTTCCTGCAGTCTGCTGATCCAGATATACAACTCTCAGCTGCCTCTCCAGCACCATGCCTACCGGCATGCCACCATGCTTCTCACCATGATAATGAACCAAACTTCTGAACTGTCAGCCAGCCCCTATTAAACGTTTTCCTTTTTAAGAGTGGCTGAGGTCATGATGTCTCTTTGCAGCAGAAGAGAA